TTCATTCTAATTCCCGTGACTTGAAAATCAAAGTGATCTGTAAGACTCAATCTGCCCAAATCATTAAAGCAACCGAGCGCAGATTCCTCCCCTCTTATTTACTCGGCCACTCGCTTGGGGGTTCTTCTTTCCTTTTCTTGCGGAGCTTCGCTTTCTCATTTCGCAACCGAAACGGAATTCCTGTGGCTAACTTTCTCCTCCTAGCGATTTCCTTCGAGGATGCCCCTACGCGATCCGTTTGTCACAAAAATGTCGCTGCAAAATCAATCGAGTTTGGTGCTTTCCTCTGCTTTGAAAACTCATGTATATGAACACCGCTTCTTTCTTTTTGTTTATCTGGACTACCTTTTTATTCATCGAATCTCCCTTCCTGTCGTTTGTTTAGACTTTTCGAGGAGACTCGTAGTTATCGTGTACAAAATATGTTTTAATCTTTCTCTAAAATAATGAATAATTATAAAAATTCCTTTACTGCAACTTTTATGTAAAAATTGTGTACAAGTTTTCCTGGAATTTATTCATCATAGAAATTTGCTGTAATAACATAATAAGCTTCGTACGCTATAGAGCTTTATTGTATTTTTAAGAGATTCTCGCGTAAAGACTTTCGTTAAATATCACTCAAATGATCACTGCTCGAGTGGATTGGAGTTGGCGTATAGAAGAAGACCTTATTCAAATTTACTTCATCTGCAGTATTATTACTTCCGACACTAAATAGTAGCTCTATTTCACAAAAGTAAAACGTTTAAAAAAAGTATTTCCAGAATGAATTAAGTATCATTAAAATAAATCTCGTCATCATTTAAAAAACAACGAAAGTATCATCGCCCATATAACAGTCTGCTCGAGTAACATCTTTTTCTGCTCTGCTCTGGTCGTTACTGTGGATGATCCCCCCGCTCCCCCCGAACGTCGTGGTGTTGAAATAGAATCGCCGTATATAAGGTGACAGTAAGGACACACAACGTTGCACCGATTGCCGAGCATCAATAACATTCGTTAACGCAACCCCTGCGCGCGCAACTTTTCCGTCCTTTCTTGTCCTCTCCTGTACACGTACTGTACAAGCATACTTTGTTAACATGATCATCATTGTCAATTGTAAGAAGCGAGCAATGAAAACATTATTTTGCTTTCTAGTTTTACGATAAAAAATCATTTCTAGATCTCGAAGTCAAACGTGCAATCGATGATAGATACTATGCAGATTACCGGTAATTTTGTCTTTAATTGAGAAAGCTTTAGTGAAAATATCAATTTTGAAAGTTACTTGAGAGAGTTTCATCAGTAATAAATGTAAATAAATATATGGAAAAATAGACGAATTCATAAAGAGTATTTAGAATTATGTAACGTAATAAAAGAGACGCGCGATTTTGTTGACGTAATAAAACTTCCCTTGAGGAGCATGTCTTTCAGCTTTGTGCGTTCACTTTTCAGGATTCGACGAGAGTTTTTTGTGACGATTCTTTAAAAACAACCTTTCCTTTTGTGTTTGAATGGGAAACGCCTCACTCTTCTTTTGTGCAGAAGGTAGAAGGCGAGAGAAGGTTTTTATTTGTTTTGTGTCGTTGTTTGTCTAGACTATAGAAACGTAATTGAAATGTGACGTGAGCAGAAACTATGAATGCAACGATAATTTACTTGTTTTGTAATGTTGATTGATTGCATTTGATACGATTAAGATGAGCAAAAGCCATAAAAATTCGCCAAATAGAGTCATAAAAACAATTTTTTCTCTCTATCCTTTCACATTTAGAATTTCGCAATGCACTTTCTATATTTATCGATTTTTTTTAGAGTTACCTGTGGGAATATACATCCAAATGGATTACACTTCAAAATTACATAGACTGTCATGACATTCATTTTTTAAAACCGTAACGAAATAAAAAATGATTCTACAATGGTGTTTGCTGAGAAAACGCAGCGTGCAACAGGGGATAATGGCTCCTTAAGAGCAATTAAGTCGTTGAGGAAAAGTCGAGACAAAGTAAACGAGAGCTATTGTCGTCGTAGCCTTCGATTTCTCCATTATGTCTCGGAGCCGCGCGTAATTCGATTTTTTTAAGGGAACCCGATGGATAATGACTTGGAACCCGTGTCGCGCCGATTAAAGCTAACGTCGCTTTAGAGACACCTTTTTTCTTCTTCTGGATAATCAGGCCGTTATGGATTTTACTCCATGAGTTTGTCTGCAATGTATAAGAAATGTCTCGTTGAAGTGGTCGCTGATGAATTAATTTTCGTGAGTTTGAAAAGCGAAATAGTCAGTCTTCAAACTGGGATTCTCGAAGTGTAGACGATGGCAATCACACATATAATTGTTATAAGTGTCTCTTTTAGAACTCTGGTAATCATGAGTAGAAAAGAAAAAGAAGCGCAGTAAAGAGCCGAAAATAATGAGAGCAATCGAGATAGAGGGCGTCAAATTAATTTGGGGGATAATTGTAAGATATCGTCGCCAACTTACACACACACAAAGTCGTTGTTTCTTGTCCCGCGGGAGCCAAACTCTCGACACGTCTTCGTCAATAGTTTGCCTAGTTGCTGCTATATTGCGTTCCGACTAAAATAACAACTCTTTCTCGCTTGGGGATGTTTTTTAGTCGCAACGCAATGATTATCATTGTTTTGGGGTGAACATTATTATCGCTTTGAGGCATTATTTTTCTTCCTTGAGAAAACTAGCTTTTCTCCAGATGAAATTACTAACTCTGTGGTTTGAAATGGATCTGATGTAACGTTAAATGGAAAAGCTTCCTTCTCAGAATTTACGGCTTATTGTTGCTACGACGATAACTGGATAATGATTAAGTTTCTTATGGAATTTGAAACGTTACGTAAGATTTTGTTATTACGTAATGTTTGATGAAATGACGCGAGAAAAAATAATTATATCTCGATTATTCAAGATCATTGAAAAAACATATATCCCTTGCGAAACGTGAAACAACAAAAAATGCAGTCTTAAATACCCGAACCTTTGACGCTTTCATTTTTCGACAAATCAAGTATAATGAGCGCACGACTGTTGCACAAGCAGCAGTAACCGCGCACGTGGATGCGCGTAGTTCTCACGTCTGCAAACCTTTCGTTATACCACCCACATGTGACATTTACGCAACGCGCCGCAAACGCAAAATTAAATAAAGTTTTCTTTGTGATGACGGTTATTACGCATTTTCACGATGCTTAAAGATTTTCCTGGTAAAATAAATACACTCGTTTTTTCGTATAAAAGTCAACATGTCAAAGTGTACTTTGAAATAAAAACGTCAGACACTTTTAGAGAAGAGCAAGCAGAAAAATGCAGCAGCTTGTCAAAAAAAGAGCTATCAAAAGGTCGATGCAGCGCGACGTCAGCCGTAAAATTCCTCGCAAATTGAAAGACGCGCAAGCAGCAAAATGATAGTCTCGAACCTCTTGAAAAGCCGATCGCGCCGCTAATGACGTGGGGATCCGATCGATCAAAACTCCGTATAAATGTCTTCCCCACTATTCGTCTTTTATGACTCGAGGGTTTATATCCTCGCCCTCTCTCTCTCTCTCCCTCTCTCTCCCTCTCTCTCTCTCTCTCTCTCTCCAGGCAGAGTTCGTTGGGAAATTATTTCTCATTCTGTTGCATTGATATTTTCCTTTCGTGTTTGTTGAATACTTTCATGCTGCTTGCTTTCTTACCTTCATTCTTTTAATTTCTGTTATCTTAATTGACTTACGTCGGTGCTTTTGTAATAAGATCATTTGCCTTTGAATTATATTTTGGAAATTTATTTAAAACAGATAAAAATGTCACCATTATTATCACAGACGTAATTAATTATATTTGTTGATAACAATTTTATTGTGCATCTCTTTCAAAATAAAATTAATCATCATTTGTCAATACAAGCTACAAACTAGTATTAAAAATAATTGGAATCCTTTAATAATCCAAGTTTACTTTATGACTTTTCAATCAATCAAGAATACCTGGAACTCATAAATTTCACTGACGAAAAAATATTCACCTAATTTTAATTATACAGCCTTTGTAAATAACATTACTAAGAATAAAATTGTCACTACAGATAAATGCTCCAAAATAGTTATAATCCTTTAGTAATAAGGACAACAAAATTAACAGTTCGCTTAATATCAGGGATCAGAGTTACCGTACACTACATCAACGAAATTATATCGAACCAAAATCAATCAACCCTAAGTGGTACGCTATAATATGCTACACTGACGCAAATACAAGAACTTTAATTTCGCAGTCACGTATTAATCCAAGCAGTCAATACAAATAGACTGCCCGTGAAAACTATAATACCTTGTCCATAGTGATTTTTACGTCGTTAGTGTCTGTGTATGTACGTGGAGGAATTCATCAGTGGCCGCATGAAGACTCTTCATCCGGCCAATTTAATCCAACGATGATCCTCGGTATGAAGCTTCGATGCAGCAGCACCTATACGCTCGTCTACACGCGTCCCTTTGATCGTTTCGGAGGGCCTTCGATAACCTCCATATAGCTGCTGTGCAGCGCATATTGTGCATACGCGCACCTTCGCAATCAAATTACGCGTCTCTCCATGCGCTGGACCCGCTACGTTTGTACAGGCAAAGTCCAGTCTAGACACACACATTACAATACCACACAAGATTAACTGTAAGTCGCTGATGATTGCCAGTATACAAATGCTAATTTCTAATGACAGATCATTCGATTCCTTCGGATTGTGTACCTGCAAGTTGCTTTGTGCAGAGATTTGGTTTGTCAATGATGGTTCGTCAGCATGAGATGAAAGGATTTCCAATTGGCAGCTGAGGATAGATTGATTTGAATGATTCTGATGGATATTATCAGGAATTCTATGGACTGTGTTTTACAAATAAAGAATATCATCATGTTTGTTAGAAATTTATTCAACATCTTACACAAATCGCAAAGATTCTTGAATAGTTTCAATTCACAAAGAAAACAATGGTAAAATATTGATGATTGTGACAGCACGAGGCACTAATAATTGCTTTGACGATGAAAAGATATGCAAAAAAAGATGACAGATTTACAAGATTCATTCGAATGTACATTAAGTAGTATTTGCGTAACAAGCTATTACTAACTCCTCTTCGCTACAATTTATCTTGTTTTCGCAGCATATAACATTGCTATAACATTGTAAGTGACTTATCTATTTTTATACAATTTTATTTCATTTAGTGTGATTCCATATTCTCAATAAATTTTTGCAAAACCATAAATGATATTCAGCAAATCTTCCCTGAAGAGATCGACCAGACAAACTACGTGTATTCTCAAGCAATAACAGCGTTTATGTGTGTTAATTCCCCAAGAATACGCGTCGCCAACCTGGCCTTCGATGATTTTAGTTTTTCAGGTGTTTTATAATTACAAGTCTTCTTTGGCAAAAGCTTTTTGAGGCCCCCGTTTGGAAATAAAGCTAGAAAAAGTGTGGTTAACTTCTCTTCACAAAATATACCATTAGGTTTGAAAGATATGACGTTTTGATGTGTCTTTAATTCTGAAAAATAGTAAAGAATTTAGGATTTTCTGGAACATTCGTGAGGAATTCGGAAATTACGCCATCGGCAGACGAGCTAATCGAAAGCATAGAGTTTATCATTAACTGGATTTTCACAATGAACTAGGCAGAAAGTGTATACGTTTTCACGCCAAAAATTAAACCAAGTTGTAATATGTGCTTTATAATAATTTAAAATATTTGCTAAACTAACATAAAGTACAGATATAGAAAAAACAATTGAGCTGAGCTTTGATGATAAATTGATTGCACATAGAATGTCGTATTTCACGTTTAGAAAAAACTTTGATAATGTCGCTTATTATGACATTTTTTTTATCAGATGTTCAATTTCGCACTCTGCCCAGTTAAGTGAAACGTAATATAAAAAATGATCGGTTGAATTTATGTAATTACTCAGCGATCATTGTCGAGGCCACGCGTGGAAACTTGGACTAAACCAAAACAATAAATGCCAAGTTAATGAAATATTAGATTACGTACCCAGGACGGGAAGTTATTGGTAACTTCATATAATGTGAGAATTGACAACCGAGGCGAAGCCTCTAACATGCAATGGGCTTGCTAATACTTTCGCGACCTCGAGTTGTAACAGACTATTCACTCTTTCAAATTTATCATGTCAATGTACAACATCGTACGTTTTAAATTAAACATCGAGAACTCGCATTCAGACGGCAGCGTGCAGATTCGAATAGACTCGTTATTGTCACGGCAAGCTTCCTCTCCCTCTCCTATCCTCTCTTTTTCTCACCCCCCCTCCCTCTCTCTCTCTACTATACGTTCTGAAAATTAATTGAGCGCGCACAGATTAAAGTACGCAAGTACTGTTCGAACACGCTTGCCGCCAAGCCTCGCTGTTATCTCCCACATAATGTGAATATTGTTTATGGAAAGGTTCACGAAGAGCAGAAAGATGAGATTCTCACCCAAGCCACCAGGACGTTTTATTTTCGTACCAAGCAATCGACCGGGATTATTGATTTTTCAGACGTCTGCTTAATTTTCACGTGAGAGATTAATGGATGGATTCAAAATTTTTCGGTTTACTTTTATCGATGAATAACATTATACGATCCGTGTAAATTAAATGATCAGTAAAAAGGACAACAGTTTCTAATTATTAATTAAGATACCTGATTCCGACGAAAAAGTGACGAAGGAAAAATCGTGTAAGATTTGCATGGACTCGCGACGAAGCTCGAATTTGACGATGCGGGTTGAATAGAGAGAGAAAGAAAAAAAATATTCAATCGCACTACTTCGCGGGGGCTCGAGCAGTAGAAAAGTTTTCCAATTTATCAGCGTTAAGAACTCGTCGCTCTTGCGCCGCGCTACACCTTGAATTGACTCCCAATCTCGGGGCCCGAATACGGTTAACGATGCCGTCGAGCGCGCGAGGCCAACGAAATTTCCGCCGCGGGGAACGTCGTTACGGCCCTCGTTTTCCCTCGGCTACTCTTTCTGGGGATTTTTTTGCTCTCCCTCTATCTCGTCCACGAGTTCATGCTTTTTCACCAGTGTGGCAGCCGTCTGTCTCGACTTTTATTATTATTTTTTGTTGTTGCAGGGGGAATGGAAGCTATCATTAATCCTGCGAGTAGACGATGCGCAGCTCTGCTGCTGCAGCTGACGAAGTTATTGACGTCGAGTATGATTTTCACTGAAAAAAAGAGAGAATCAATTGAAATTCGAATTCAAGCAAAGCAAGAAGTAAAGGAGAAATAAGAATACTGACACGGGGCGTAGTGTTGCAAAAGTGATGGGAAAGAAATCTTAAAAAAAGAGATATCTGGTGATAACGAGATAGCAGCTAGAGCGGAGAAAATAAATAAGCTACTGCGAAAAATGCCAAAGGAATATGAAGCGTCACTAAGGGAGATAAGGAGGAGGAAGAGAGAGAAAACCCGGACGGTATCGGATGTCTGTGATTGGCTGGGATACTGTTACTCGGCTGGTGCTTCTCGGGAGCTTTTGGCATCGTCCTCCTCTTCTCATAAGAATTTGTGCAATTGCGCTGGGAAAACGAGAAACGGAGAGAGGGAAAGGGAAATTGTACCAATTCAAACGCCTGTAATTGGCTATTTCAATATTTCTGAATTTTTCAATTTGATGATTCTAGAATCCTCTGAGGTCTTGACTCATTGTACAGAGTGTCGATACAATTGTATATCGTTAGTTTCATTTTGTAGACAGTCCTCCATTTGTCAGCAATTTTTTGGTTGGTGAAATCTGCAACAACAACAAAATATCTTTTTTAATTCTCCGTCTCACAAACGACAATATATTTATGTTAAAAAATTAAAACTTCCCAAACAATTTTAAAGAAACATAATTCCACCGTCGTTTTTTACACCTCTGAATTCTTATTCATAGAAAAAAAAGAAGGCTTATCGTAAGATGAGTGTCAAGTCCAGCGAAATTTCTCACATTGTACGAAGAAAGCGAGTGGGCTACACGAAAGTGAGAGATGAGGTAGGAATAAAACTCGACAGAGCGGACTGACGGATGGCGCGCGGATCTTTCTCCCTGCTCCGACAAATGGATTAAGGCCAAATTGCTAAACTCTGTTTAATTTGGCCAAATGAATTTTGTTCCGGCGGCGCGCAAAGGCACACGAAGCTGAGAACTTTCTCCCCAGTGCAAGGAATCTCGTTTCTCTCTTTCGCGAGCGAAAGCCTCTTTGGAAATCGCTTTATTAATTTGTCTTTTAGTTTTGTTATTAGTGTTTCGATACTCTCTTGATCTTTCGTCATATCGCTTTTAACCTATAACGCCGCAACCCAACACCGAAACACGTAGTTCTACAAATGTATCGGTAAATTAAAATAAGGTAATGTGTAGCAAAATAAACTAGGCGAATTTGAAATAAAGTAGGCAGAGAAAATTTATCATAGCATTGAAATCACCCAATGATGTTCGCTGTGGTAGCATATAATTGTGTCGCAAATTCAGCAGCCTCAGTCTCTCACTTCGAATCCAATCTCAAAGGGAAAGGCCATTGCACGGATTTGGGTATGCGCATCGTGTCACCGCATTATACAGCTACGGAAATGGGAACCTCGGACTCTACTCTATGTCTGTCTCTGTATGCAGTGACAAATGAGATGTGCATACGCCGCCATCCTTATTGAATCAGCTTCAAATACATATATTTCTGCGTGCGGGTTTGTTTGTGCACGGCACAGAAGCATCCGTAGAGAGGGGAGAGAGAGAGAGAGAGAGAGAGAGAGAGGAGGGGGGGAAGAGGGAAAGAGATAGGGATTAATTAATAGATTGATTGACTTAGCTTTATTAACCTTAGGGTATAACCCCGTAGGTTTTAGGTACATATAATATAAAAAATAAAATAAAATAAACAAAATCAACAGAAATAAAATAAACAAAAGTTTCGCACAATAGCACAATTAGAAACGATTGATTAAAGCAGTTAAAAAAATTACAATATAAGATACGCGTTCAGAAGAGATAAAAAATTCACAAAAACACAAGATTTAACATTAATGTAAAAGCTTAAGTACTAATAATAAGTAACCTAAATAATATACACTATTTACATAAAATTTTTAGACGTAAACGATAGAAAGCTACGCAGGATTCTTAAGTATCACCCTGTAAGGGAGGATGAGTAATTAAATATGACAAAAATAAACATAACAGAAAGTTTACCAAGGGAAAAATGAAGCAGATAATAGAAGAGAGAGAGATAGGTAAGGAGAAAATGATCTAGAGAGTGGAGAGAAGGATCGGGTGTAATGTGGAATCAAAAAGATGGGAGATAAAATTTAGGAGGATTTATTAAATGGAGGGAAATTAAAGGAAAAGTAGTTGCCGGGGGCTTGAAGGTAGTTAGAGAAGGAGGTGAAGGCTGACACATCGAATGGAAGCGAGATTGTTGGTAGCTTCAATAGTGTATTGTTTAGGGACTCGGATTTAACTCTGCGACGAAAAATTTGTTGCTCAAGGATCATTAAAAGCCATGAACTACCATGTCTTGAGTTCGCTGTATCTGAGGATGTCAAAATCAGAGATAGAGGCTGATTAAGGAGGAACATACCATAGATTGACACAGAGTGAAGCCAAGCCTCCGTTCGCGGTGCTGAGTAGGAGAAAGGCATCGAAGGATTGCAGGTCGAACGCTTTAAGTAGAGTGGGAGAGAGAGAGAAAGAGAGAGAGGGAGTGAGAGGGAGAGAGAGGGAGAAAGAGAGAGAGGGAGGAAGAGAGGGTGTGGGAGGGAGAGAGAGGATAGTAGTAACATGAGAGAGGATGGTAGTAAAAACGATAAAGCTCAACTGGCATAGCCGCTGCATTATACCAAAGTTTCAGTTACAAAAATTTAGTGTAGAGAAATTGGCAATAAAGCTGAATGTAGTGGAATTTGAACGTTTGAAAAAGGCTCCATGATCGGCTTGGAAACTAACTTCGGATGGAATAAAAGAGTAGGACACAAATCTGAAAAGACAAAAAACCCAATCGCAGCACCAATTAGCAGTTTCTACCTGTGGTGCGGTTGCGTGCATAATCCGTATGAAATTTCGGCTATGCGAACATACCAAGCACCGGCTCTCTGTGTGTATATCTCTTTCAGACGTATTGAAAGCCGTTTCAGATATCTGTATGCTTGTCACGTTCAAAATACTAGGCTACTGCGTTCCTTGTTGAATGGAGCTTTAATGAGGGAGAGAGTTCGTATGCAGAAGCCGTCAATTAATTCCGCAATTGACACTCTTTACGGATGCACGATGCGTGCACTCGCGCAACTCGTGGAATTTTTGGTATTTGCTCCTGAAAAAACTTTTTTTTTATGCTATTTGTTTGAAAATTGGAAGAGCATGTGCCGTATACATATTTTTTACCATGAATTCAAAGCGAAATCAATTCTCGCGATGAGAGAGAGAGAGAGAGAGAGAGAGAGAGAGAGAGAGAGAGAGAGAGAGAGAGAGAGAGAGAGCAAAAGTTCGCGCTTTTTTTATAAACTTTGGGCTTTTGTCAATTCATTTTTTTGCGAAAAGGTGATGAGGTGTTGACCGACATGTCAAATAATATCTTTTACTTGCGTTTCTAGGAAAAAAGTGAACAGCTAAATCTTATTCTTTGGGACACGTTGAATTCAAGTGACACTTATTCGATTACTACCACAACCCTTCTTGCCCTAATAAAACTACGGCTTCCCCCAAATAATAAAATTGACCAAATTTGAAATAATTTGAAATTGACGGTATCTGCTGTGTCGGAGGGTGATACTATATGGCTATATACAAAAACGATAAAAAGTGTACGTAATTTATGACGCTGAACTGCCATCAAAGATGAATATTGCTGAGTGAAAATAATTGCACCGCTTTGATAAAAATAAATATGGAATCCTGAATTTCATCAAGCGAAGCAACGCGATTGAAATTCTTGTATTCGAGGCAGGTAGACAGGTCTGTACAACACGACAGCAGCAGCGCCGCGAGCGACGAGAGTAGAGTGAGATAGATCAGCATAAAGCATTAGTGAACGAACGCTCGGATCCTCGATATCGTTAGGTGCGTGTGTCACCGTATCTAGTTAATTCGACGCAGTATATTCATTTATTTCCAACGCGTATTCGCAGACGCGTTTCCGTCTCCAGAATCGCTTTACAGAATTAATAACTCATCGCAGAGACGTATTGTTGCTGCCGCATAATCACTTGTAACGTTTTAGACTCATCAAGTATGAATTTTCTGCTTGAGTCGTGTAAAATGTTTGAAGTAAGCACGGCAGCTCACATATAATAGCAATGGCAATGGGCTCAAGAGTGTGCTTCTCAAGTGGACTTTGCCAAAGTCTCTGTGGACGGGCTAATCGCGGGTCGTCGACCAAATTCGATCGCAGACGCCAAGTGCTGGCGGATATTGCTGTGGGGGAGGTGGATCATTCAGGGTGGGCCGGAAACAAAGCCGAGCACTTAACGGCAAATTAGTGATGGATGGAGGTAGTAGTAGTAGTATGTAGTACCAGTACTAGTAGGAAAAGGAGAGGGAGGGCTGAGCGCCAATGTCGCTCTTCATTAGGCAACCGCAAACTCCGAACCAATTGGCCACAATCTACAATGAGAGACTCGCTTATTCTGTGCGTATATGAATGTGCGGCCGGAAAAACGCGCCTGATATGGGCACTCGTCCTCCAAAGAGTTTGCTTTGATTGGCAACTTGCCTGGCTTTTATCAACGCTATTTCGAGCGACAGTGCCGTGTTTGCTTAATTTTCTTGGACTCGTCGTTGGGCATAATCAAAAATAGCAAACGACAGGGAATGAGACAAAGTAGAATATTGGCTGAAGCGCATTGGGCAATCTCGAGTGTCAATATTTGTAATTTCACCAAAGCAGTCGGCGCACGGAATCCGATCGGAATTGTGTAACGCACGGCAAAGCATCGCAGCGTGCGTGTGCAAGGTAGACTGGATCAAATGTTACGAGCACGATATTCGGTTAGGCTTTTTCTCCTACCCAATACTTGCTGCCATTCTAAATGAATCGCGTTGCGCGGTGCCGATTTGCCTGCGTAAAATGCGCACGGTGATACTCCGTTTCATGTTATATTTTTAAAAGCGATATCTTATAATATTTCCATGTGGCTTGCACTGACCAACATCCAATCATCGAATGTACTGCACATTTCACGGTGATTACGGCTTTATACACTGCTCAATATTGCTATGCGATTGAATTCAAGCTTGTGCTCGTGAAACAACACGCGAATCAATGCGGATTTCAGTTTATGCATGTCGAGCGGATTATTAATTTGTACAAGCTCGGCGATCAACATAAAATATAACTACGACGCCGTTTCAAAGTGCACACGCTATATACACGTTCTAGGTTGTACAGGAAATAACTGACGACCGACATGCGCAATTGTTGTTAAACGTTAAAATGGACCGCACCGTTGACAGCGTTTCATTGCACGAAAGTTGTTCGCGAAAAAAAGAAATACTGCGCGCGATGCATTGTTCCCGCGCGAGAGAAAGAAAAGTAAAAGAAGAGAAAAACGACTTGAACAAGACCGAAGGGCTGCTGCTGCTGCTGCTACGTCTTATTGAGTGACTGCCAATAGTGGCAGCGGCGGCGTCGGTCTGCTTGAATTGAACTTGACTGACGAGGCACGCGGGGAGGGTGGCAGTCATTAAATATACGGATCGGATATTTCGATATTAGCCCCTCCACTTAAAATTCTGTTACCTCGAAGCGGCAGATTATTGACTTCTATGCGTATTGTAATTGACTCGACGGGCACCTTTCTCTATGCTTTTTATTTCTGACTTTCATTTCATTGTGTAGTCTGTGGAATTCGGTTCGCGGAATCTTTCGGGAATGAAGATGTTTTCACGTGACTGCATTCGATTGATATTCACAACAGAATTAAAAAACCGTTCTTGCGATCAATAAAATCATAAGCGATGAAACGAGCGAATGCAGCCATCGAGAGCCAACGATCCGATCTAAAATGTAGGCAGAAGCAAAAGAAAGGAGTATTTACCCTTTGAAAAAGTGCAGCGCATACGACTGGCAAATATAGCAGTGGCAGAGACTCGATTGTTATAAATGTATCGCCGACGGGGGATTAAGAGCGCTATTCGCTTGCGGACCGTTTATCGTTAGTCGATGTACTAATGGTTATTTCACGTACGCGCGAGTCTACGTGATTTAGCCGGCGAATAACACGATGAGCACGAATTTACGTATCCATGCGATAATCTACGCTAAGGGATTACGAATTAAGTCGTAAACAAGATTGTTGCAGTATTATTATTATATGGATACGTGGCTATCGCGAGAAAATCATTTGCATTTGAATGAAACGCTCGAGTGCAGGTGTAGCTTGCTGAGAAAAAAGGAAGGAAAGCCAAGTGAAAAGGAGATTCTCAAGGCTTTTAAGATGCCATTATGCTTCATTTCCCGGAGGGATATTTTGTTTCGGTCTACCGTGACGCTGAAACTTTTGTGCGTAGGAAAAAGTACGTGACAATGAGAAAAAAATACAAGAAACACAAAGCTGCCGATGAATACGAGAGTCGAAATTCAAGAGGTCATTTTTAACCTGAATCATTTTAATTCATTCACGCCAGCTTCAATAACAGCTTTCCGTCAAATTGAAGGTCGAAGATGGCAAAATTTCTGTCAGAAAGCGCGCGTGCGCGAGGTCAACTTCCCAATTGGTGCTGTGGCAAAATGAATTGGGGGGTAATCTTTTAAAAGGCCAACGCCGTCGCGGCATCAACGCGCTGCATTTGCATAACAAAACGCGCAATTAATAAAGTTCCTGCTCCGACGGAACACAAAAGAGCATTCAAAAGCCAACCCAGGAAGGCTAAATAAGTCAGACTCTCGGCGCGGTCCCGCGAGGCGAAAACTTGGCAATCTTTGCCCATCAGGCTTTTCCTCCCGTCGTCGTGTGGCTTTTAATATTTTAGTGGAATTCACCGGGCTAGTTTTGTGTGCGAGTTACAATGAATGAAATTGGACACATGCGGCGACAGTCTTATCGATCTATATACACTCTTTCCATTCGAGTCCCAATCTTCGCTATGGTTAGTTTGGCATTCACCCCGTAGAATCAACGAGGCTGAGCGTAGCGACGGTATCTGAGGGAGTTCTGAAACTTTCATTTTCTCGGAATTCGACGCTGGCATCATAAAGAGACCATATACTGCCGAGGTCATACGTTATATTTTGTACTTGCGCACCACTTTGTTTCGTGGATTTTCACGATACACGTCGCCGCACAGTCGCGGTATTATGAAATTCCACAGACTCCCCAAGCGACTTTGCGCCATGCCGAATCGTAGATTTCACGCCTCGTCGAGCGTCTGCAACGTTTTTTACTTCTTTATTCTCGATTCGCTTGCAATTTCTTTTCTCTTTTGTGGAGGGGATAGGACTTGTTCACATTTGAAAACTTACCTCTTGTTTCCCGGGCCATCTGGGAGGACTGATTGCACGGGATACGGTTTCTCGATGCTAGAATGAAAAAAGGATTTTAATTAGCATTGGTATTTGGACGACAAGGTTTGTGTGAGAAAAATTCCCACTGTTATCTTGTGTATGTTAATAAAACAAAAAATACAGAAGATTTTATCGCTGAAATTTGCCTCAAATGATGGCTTCGACGTGAATAGTTCTGCCTGAGACTGCAGTTACGTCGATTTTTTTTATTGAAAAGCCCTTTTCGAATTCATTAACAAACAAAAAGCTGTCTTTCCCTCGTAGCGTGCACATCTGAATATGCAAACGTTATACGGTCGCCAGGAGCATCCAAAATCGACGCAGCATTTCTTGTCAAATGCCAATTTGGACCGAACAGAAAGCGAATAGTTTTGCGTCTGCCGTTGTGCGTTCTGCTTAACATTTGAGACGGTATAAGCGTCAAAGTTTACGCATACTTATGCTCGCAAACTTCGATATTTTTCGAGTATGAAAATTGCGTAAGTTAAATCAGGCGCGCGACACTCCTTTGGAAACCTTGCTCTTCCTTGAATTTTCTCGCCAAGTAGTAAATTGCCCGGGCGAATTATTCATTGCCTCGGAACTGCAGTCGGAAAGTTTTATACGTCCTGGCGTCTGTTTGCAGCCCGGTTAGTGGATTAACCTTGTGCTTGCTCGGAAAATTAGATTTTACATCACAAAGGACATAGACTGCTACTGCGCGGCGTGTTGCATCGAATAGGAAACGGTTTTCAGTGTCTTAGAATTACCGGAGAACTGTTGAGATGCCAACGAAAACCGAGTATCGATAAAACTGATCTAATTCAAGAACAAAAGTCAGGTGGTAAGGCTCGCAAGTACCTCGAAGCGAGCGTCCGGCCATATGATCGATCAGGACACGCTAACTTCAATATTATTTTCTGTATGGTGACGTGTCCGAAGGAAGGTGTACGCCCAGGATGTGTATGGACGGGACGGCTGATCGATTGCGTCATCAAACGCGCGCCTAACATTTTTTCTCCTTTTACGACGATGCAACGCTTTTGGGAATCCTGACAGTGATTGCTCGTAACTGCTTGCGTGCGAAATAAAATGTCAACTTCCGTCGTTTTCGTCGATTTTATGAGGCCAAACGTTGCTTCGTGATAGACTCGTCTGTTTTCTTTCTTTTTGTTTTGTTATATTCAGATTCACAGCGTTTGCTACTGTAGCTTATTTTTTAGACTGACTGAATCCTGACGCCTTGCTGATGAAAATCACTTGTTTATTAAAGGAGAAAGAAACCGAGGTCGACAGCGACCATACCTGAACGTCATGTTTTGATAGGCATTCGAACGACGCTCAAATAACTTTCCGAGCACGCGAATCGACAAAACGAACTTCGTTATGGCCAGATTTTAATCTTAAAATCGTGTATCATTCGATCAATGGCATACAACAATAGCTCATCAAGCAATGTCTGTTAATCCCAGGATTGAACGTTCGCTCGGTTTCCATTATCTCGTGAGCGAATAAAGAACTAAATTATTTAAAAGCAGCACCGGTGTCTTCGCTGCCCGACAGAGAAGGCAATTCCAGTTCGTATGCTGCGCGGATTGAGCAATCTTTCTGTATTTTCCGTGTGTGCTCGAATTATTCTTCAAGCTCGCGCGCCGACATTTCACCGAGACCCATTTGCATTGTTAATGCCACCGCGCTCCATTCTTTTCCTCGTCGTCATAAGCCGACACAAGCCGAGTTATTTAAAAATGTGCCCTTTCGAATTGGTAGGGCAATTCAGAGAGAGGATTTATCGGAAATCTTACAGGCAAACTTTAATACCTCTTGTTGCAAAGTAAAGTCGAGTAAAGTAGCGGCTAACTAGGAACAGTACGCGAAAGAACTGGAAATCGCAGCGTAGCGGCCGGGATACAAAGTGGATTAATATAATAGTGGCCGGCGTGCGCGCGCGCGCGAGCAAGTGCTTAGCCCAATGGCTGCGAGTAAGTTGAAACGAAACTTTTGGCTGAAGTGCGAAAGTCGGTCAGTCCGGGAACTTGCGACTGCGAGCTTTCTTTATTGAAGCTCTTTTCTCTTGCTCGCGTGTGCGAGCGAGGCTTGTCTAAATTTAATGGTTAGATTTAAGCCTCAACGTTGGCATGACGAATAACGTGACGACGCGAAAAAACCTCATTGCGAATTTACAAACCGCCAAGATGTATGCAGACTCGTTTCGCTTATACAGATTTGCCTTGCATCAATTTGCCAGGATATGCTCAACTACCTTTTTTATCTTTTCACTGCTACACGGAGAAAGGTAATCACGTTTTGACGGATGGCTTCGGACATTGATAAGATTTATATATATGCATTTATATTACTTGTTAACAGTTACACGTCGACGTTCATCACAAACAGTCATTTTTCACATCTTTCATTGATCAATGTATTTGTGCATTTTGTGTACGAGTGCCATTGGTTAAAGTCACATTTATCTGCTTATGAAGCCAACGTTGCACACGTCGCTGATTTGCAAAATCTACAACGAAATGACAGAGATTTCCTGGAATTCGCTTTGGCGTGAAATTTCAAAGAACGACAAAGAAGTTTTCAGCTAGATTAATCAACGAGCTGCTTCTCAATTGCCTTTGCGTGCCAATTGGCAAAGAAAAACCGATCGAGCACGCGCGTAGAGTAAAATCCCGTCATTGTTCTCTCTTGCGACAGAAGCCAAAGAAGCTAGCCACTCATCTACATAAATTGCAAGTGGGCTAACTACTAGGCGGAAGCCGAGATTTTCACGGTAATAAACAGCGCGAGCTTGTTTCTTCAGTGGCTTCCGATTACAAACGAGTGCTTCGCTAAAAACTATTGCCTTAACCAGACTTCAGTTCTGCACCTCTCTTTTCGGATCCAATTTTATACTGAGCGCTGTTGCCTTCTATACGTCCGAGAGTGTTTTATCCGAGTTGTGAAAGCGCGCCGGTTTTATTTTAAACGAGTTATTCGCAGATTTTGATTTTTAATGAAAATTTAAGAGGAATGTTTGATAGATTTCTGCATACGAAAATTGATCGGTGTTGCGCGAGATTTATAGAACGATATTTCTTTTAATTGCATTTTGCGTGTTCAAGATGTGAACTTGCTATGAATCATTTTTATTGATTGTTCGTAACTGTTCGAATAAATGAGAAATCTACGAGCAACGAAATTATTTTATTATCAGAAGCATGATTGGTTGGATTAAGTACATGCACCTGATTTATGAATGTGCGGAGAAATTGGAACGGAATTTGTAGACAATTAATGAACAAGCGCAACGAGATTCAGCAGTGACTTTCGTGTATTTCTATACCTGTCTTCGGCAAACCGCGAAATATTAATAATAACTCGCGTCGTTTTCGGTACCATCATGGCGTCCATCAATTACTGCGGATTAACGCATTCGTGCGACAAAGAGAAATTATTTTTGCCAACTTAATTACTTCGAGCACAATAATAATTGTTTCGGATTACGCACCAAACGTTTTCATAGACGGCAATAATCCTTAAAGCGAACAATTAACGATGTTACGGATAAAGCGAAAAAAGCATTTTTCTTCACAGCTCAATTAGTCAACCGCATTGAATGAATTTTCAGTTGTCAATGAAAAAAGTGAAAATATTACTTTGTATCGCGTGGAACATTTACGTTACGTACGGGAAATCGCAACAAAATATATCGCGAGAGATTATCGAGCGATGTATACATAATATATGTGGAGCGTATATACGAATGTAATTCGTGAACGATAAGTGAATGTCATGCATATACATACGATTTCCGAACGCCAGTGACATGATTTCGTTTGCCAACGAATGACGCGTGTGTATCGCGTCGTGGATTTTATTGAAAAAAATGCAATTTCCCTTCGCGCTTTGTTTGATTGCTTAGTTTACCTTTTATCGAGGTGTTAAGCTTCAAAAGAATTTTGTTGAATTAGAATTGTTGTTCAGTTTTGTAACTTCAATGCCGTCATGATTGATTATCAATTGAATAGCTGCATCCAAATACGTTGGAGTCACGTAGAAAATATATAGATTCACATGTATACTATAAAAACAAAATAATCTTAACATCCAATTTGAAATTGGCAAAACACTTAAATAGTTATTATGATGCTGTTTGATTAGCTTAACTATTTGTGTAATTCTTTTTATACTCCCTCTCTCTCGCTCTATCTATCCATCTTAACACGTTGATTATACTAAATCTCTTCAGTAATATAAATAATTTAGGTAAAACGAAAGTACAAATAATCCTTTTCAAATATTTCATTACATTCTTATTATTATTATTATTATTATTATTATTATTATTATTATTATTATACCAAACATCTAAATATATATTTAGCTGAGTACGCGATAGTAGCAATAATGAGAAGTATGGAATAATATACAGTAAAATGAGTTATTAATATTAATGAAAGTAATCAAAAGATAAAACTTGATTTATTAACAACACAAGAACGCTACAACAATAATTCTACCGTAATGGATGTCAATACACGCTTTCGCAAAAGCGCTCTCTCAGAAAAGTGATTCGTATTCCAAAAGAAATATCCGCGACGTTATAACTTCCGCAGTAAATGTCTAATAAAAAAAGAGTGAGAAAGTTAACTCGGATAGGAAATTGAGTTTCGCGGCACGTCGTCATAAATATATAAATAAAGTTTTCTGCGATATCGCTCGATGATAATCAAGCGTCGGACTTTAATTGGTCTTCTCGTCCCTTCCACTTCGCGAGCGAACTTTCGCGATCGTTTGCGCGGAGACTGAAGGATTACCCAGCGATAAATCATCCCTTGCATTTACGAGTACTTAGAATATTGCCATCGACGATGGGGGCCAAGGGAGTGGCCTTCTCTCTCTCTCTCTCTCTCTCTCTCTCTCTCTCTCTCTCTCTCTCTCTCTCTCTCTAGCCACTTTGCAATTCGTCTGAGCGTGGATTACTTCGTTGCTTGACTTGTCTCTCCCGCTTACTTTTTCGGTTATTAATGAAGCGTAAACTTTGG